ACTTAGTAGACCAGCTTGGCCTTTGAATTCATGGGTGACTATAAGGTTTTCCTATAGCTTTTAATTCCGTACCAAATTTTCTAAATAATTTTGCTAAATCTGCCTCAGTACTAGGTATGAAATTCTAATTGCTAGAATAGATTTCTTCAGCCATTTTATCAACTTCATCTACCCTGTAAACAGTTACCTAATCATTTACTGTACATGATGGGTACACTTACGTTTCTTGGCATATTCAAGCATTGGAGTAAGAATAAGAATTAAAGAATTCTGGGCAAAAAAACACAGGAAATTAATGTCAACAAAACTAACATGAAATGTAAAAACAGTAAGATGCTGTTTTCTAAACCATGCTTTGCACACACTATGAATTCCCAGACAAAAATAGAAAGAATGGGGTATCGTGTACTCATCAGGCACTAGAATTGTACCAATGTATTGCATTTCTGTGGAAAAATATCATATTTCATTTAGAAGGGATAATGTGTAACATGTATTTAATAATAGCATTTAGGCATCTGTAGGAATAAAATAGACACCACTTTCAGATTTATTATTGATGACATAATAACTTTTAAATTTTGTTTTAAAACTTTTAAAAATTGTTTACATTTTCAGGTTAAAGACCTTTAAAATATTTTTGTTGATCTGAATTTTGATTGTTCTGAACATAAAACTTGTTCTCACAGAACCATGACTGCTACCTTCCTATTGCTTATTGTATTCCTATTATCATGATCTGTGCATAGAAGAGAAGTTGGGAATAATTTACAGATATTGGCTTTTTGAAAACATTAGCATATACTGGCTTATTTGCCTATTTTTGGTTGCTCCATTAAAAATAACAGTAAATGAGTACTGAGAAGATGGAGGATGAATTTGGGGTTTTGTTTTGGTTTTAGGTTTGTTTATGATGCAGTCTTACATAGTTAAGGCTGGCTTGAACCCATGATCTTCTTGTCAACCCCAAGGAACTGTATTTACACAAGTAAACCACCCTGATGCCCATATTTTTAATGGGCTTGAATTTGCTTCTGGCTGTAGATTTGTAGCTAAAACCTGACTTGCTTAGTACATGTGACAGTAAGCTTAAGCCTGTAGTTACTTTAAATCTCCACAAGATGGACCTCTTGATCTTAGGTGGTCTTTGCCCTCTTGATTTAATGATCCAAAAATTACTCAAGCAAGAAAACTTTTAAATTCCTTAAATTTTCAAAAATTATCTTAAAGTCACAGATTTTTTAAGTAAAGTTTTGTAAGCTTTTTAAGACTAGTATTACTTGCATTAATTTTTTTGCTTTGTTTCACAAAAATAGCAAATGGTTTGTGGAGTTGACTCATAGAACCTCACTCCTCAAAGCCACTAGTTATAAAGAATTCCAAGGCAATAGAAATACTTTTCTTAAGCCGCTGGATTTGAATATAAATTTTGTCATAGGTGACCCAATATGTGTATCACTGTGCCTGTATAGTTGTAAATTACTCTGTATAGTATGTATCTCTAATTTTGAAGGTACTTGGCAAATGTTATATACTTAGTCACTGTGGAATTAAGTTGATGTAGTTGGTAAACATACTTAATTCACATTTATCTGTCAATCCTTCTAGTTCCCTTTACAACACTCCTAGGAAGATGAAACACAGCAGAAGTACAGCTAGAGGATAGTTATGATTAGTAAAACCAAAATGGTCCAAGTTGGGTACTTTTGCCAAAACCTTCATTAATACTAAATTTTCTATTAGTTTTAGTTATCTTGTAACTTTTGAGGTTAACTAAACCTGAATCATTCTTTGGAATATCCTATAAATTACTTTAAAATTTTATTAGTCATAGCTATGGGACTTGACTGGAACAGAGACCTAAAGGTTTCTGTGTCTACCAGGTCACCTCTACAAGGGCTCCACTTGGCTCTGCTCCAAGCAGTCATCTGTCCAGGGTAAGTGAGTACAGTTTCTAGAAGAGCAGCAGATTCCCCTTTGAACAGAGAGATTGAAATTTCAAGGTTTTTTTTGTTTTGTTTGAAACTTTGACCTGTTCACTTTTTAAATTGAGCAACATACAAAATAGGAGCTGCTAATGTGTATCTTGAAATAGCAAAGAAAGCATGCTTTGATGTTAGCTGGCCACAAATGAGGCATCAATGGACTCTTCCATATGCAAGTATCCTACATGCCTGTGAAATCCAGGTATGGCTTCCAGTTACAAAGACTTTAATCACACACAACATAGAAGAGGTAAAGCTAGAACCTTTCTGCTGTCATTTATTTAAAAACTAATTCAACTAATAGAATGTTTGCTAGTATCAGGACTGATCACAGATCTCTTTGGCCAGAGCACTACCACAAATGTCAAGGAAGTTTCATAGACAACAGGGTCCACAAGCAGTCTTTTAAAGAGCTTGGAGAGCAGTGAGGTGTGGTAGATGTGAATTTATGCAGGACACTTGGTTAGTCCTAGTGTTATTTAGCTAACACACTGAATGCTGAGAATGCACTGGGTTCATGCCAGCATCTTAGCTATTTTACCTCATTTAGACATTACAGGAAGCACTGAGATCATCCTAGAAAGCAAGGCACTTGCTTGGAAGAGCATAAAACCTAGATTTGATTGTAGGTCTCCGAGCTTTGAGATCATGCTGCAAGCCATTATTTCCTGTTAGCCAGTAAAATGGGCAGAAGGAAAGGAAGGCTTCTTTTGAATGATTTAAAAGCAAAAAACAAAAACAACAAGAACAATAACAACAACAACAAAACACAACTAATGTGTCGGGGATTGTTAACTAGCTCACTTTCGGAGTAAACTACTATTCCAAATCTCCATTCATCTAAACTGTTTTTAATAGGGTTTTGACAATGCAGGCAAATAAAAACTCTTCTTAAAGAGGGCATCGATTTTCATGTTGGTAGGATTTCCAGTTATTTCCAGTAAATTGCTTCCAGATTAAATGTACTCAATACTCCTTCATAAATTTTCAGTTAACTTGAAAAAAAAAAGGTAACTAGCTTTTCAAGGCATGAACCTTTATATATTTTAACAGAATCTATAGAGGAACAAAGTTGGAATTTTCTTTCATGTATTTAGATACTTAAGGATCAAAGGTGTTAAGAATTGACTTGTTTTTTTCACAGTTCCCAGCTACATCTCATCCCAACCCCAAGAAAATGAAAGCCTGGGTTCATTTCCTGCAATAAGTAGTCATTTAATTAAAGAACAAAAGTAACAGGAGTCAAAATGTTGGAGCTGTATTTTTTTGTTAGACATCATATAAAAAAGAGAAAGTATAGTACAGTAAATCACTCTATAACATGAACTTAGTTTTCAAATCATCAGGATAAAAATGTCTTTTCAACAAAATACCGAATGACACTGGGTCACATGTCCCTCATGGCGGAGGCTGGGAATGTGAGCCTGCACATGCATGTCGCCCATCCTCCAGACACTGCAGGACTGTAAGACAAACAAGGTTTCTTCTGGGAGAGTTACTCTAGGCCTTAAGTGACCCCAACAGTTCACACTCTTCAGACACCACACAAGGGAGTGTGTCCTCTGGGTTGCTCCTCTTTTAAGTGAGCGATCAGGATTGCGCCTCTGTGTGATTCTGCTCTTCTCACAAACACAGCAGTTAGTCTTGAGGAAAGTTCCCTGATGAATGTTCAGTGTTGGTATCAAAAATTAAACACAAATTCTTCTCAGAAGAAAATCTCTATGGCCTGTGGAATCTAGAAATGATTTTAAAAATTAGACATTTCTAACAGTTAAATCTGTCAGAAACAAACAACAACAACAACAAAATTCCATGAACAAATGTACTGCTATTCAAAGTTTCTCAAGTTTATATATAGGATTTCAAGAAGGGAGTTGCTGTAGCTCCTTACGACCAACAACTCCGTGCAAAATCTGTGAATGAGGTTCTCAGCATACACAAAGGTTCTAGGTCTCGGCCTGGGGCGAGCTCCTCTTAAAAATAGCTTCAAATTAGCAACAAGTTCATGGAAATGCTTACTTACAATAAAAAAACTTACATGAGGCTCAAATACTGTGCTGACTTTGTAAAGCTGCTATGAAGTGAATTATTTCCTTACTTTTAGGTTTGGGGGCTCATTTTTTAAAATTCTGTCATTGAAAAGGTTATCAAGAACTTACAGAAACAAAGGTTGATTTCCATACACAGGATTATATATTTCTTTAAAATAAAATGAACATGAAAATGTATTAAAGAATTTTATTAAAGAATTTTATTTCCTAAACTTATATTAAGAATGATAAGAACTAGGCTAATCTGTCCAATATGAGAGGAAACTTTAAAATTTTTGTGTGCATAGTTTTCTTTCTTTCTGTAGCCATAGCCACAGTCAGCTTACAGAGCAAATCTTTTAAATAAGTGTTGTAGCCACTTGGGATCCATCACTGCAGTTGAAGGCAGTGTACAAGAACAGGGTTGCTTTTTCTTTTTCCATTTGGAGTTTGAACATCCTTCAAGGAAGGGGACAATGTGATTGTGTTGGCTAAGTTCTCATGTGCCTCTAAGGACATTGAAAATGTGCACAGCACTCGAAGGAAACAAGTTTTTCTTCCAACTTCTGTGCAATAGAACACCTTACCCTGGCTGACTGCCATGAGCTCCACGAAAGTAGGAGTTTCCTTTGTATATTTCACTGTCACAGCCTCTGCACCTGGATATGCTACACATATATTATCAGAATATGTGCTGAAGAAATGATTGTGCTTTGTGGTTTGGTGAACAATATTAGTATAGGTACAAGAAAATGGAGGGTGATTTCTCAGCAATCTAGATATGGTGAATTCTAAAGTTAATTTTTGTTATTGGAATTAAGTACCTAAGGAAATTTTAAGCTGAGACCAATTTTCTTAAACATAGCAACTATGCACTATTATGTATCCCTTCTCAGCACCAATCCCTACTTTTAATATTTTCCAAGGAAGTGCTGAGTATAAAGCTCCTTGTGGCTAGACACCACGCAGTTCATGCAACAGAAAATTACCTTGTCAAGTGCTTGCTGGATGCGTGTACCTCCATTTCATTACTTTTATACTCATTTAATTCTTTACGAATTGCTGCCTGGAATTTAAAAAGGATAGATTCTCAAGTTAACAAATTACCACCTTTACATATTTTCAACCATTAATATGTGCAGACACTGTGATCAGTAATCAGAAAGGGGGTGCTCCAGTGGCTCAATCTGTTAGTGTATGGTACTTATATAATAATCAGAAAGGAATTAATTTGCTGTGTCATAATGTGCAGATGTCATAATGTCATAATGTGCAAAAGGTTGCAGACAACCCTTCCCACACTAACAAAGGAACCAGTGAATAATAAGATCAGCTTTTGATCATATTGTTATTGGGATATCAGAAAACCCACAGGTCACTGGAACTTTGGGGCATATATTTCTATTTTGTGGTGTGGAAGTAAATGAGCATCTGTTTAGGGCCTCTGGCCTGGCCTCCTTTATCTTCCCTGCATACTCTATCATGACTGTTTCTCAGATGATCCCTTTCAGAGTCTAGGTGAGATGAGGAGAAAACCTTTGAGGTGAGATGGTTTCCTGCATTCAGATAACACTGACTGCTAAAGATATTCTCTTCCTTTGATCACCTAAGCATGTCCAATTCCAGTGTAACAGCATTTCTCCAGGTTGATATAATAACTGAATATTTCTAAGCATTTCTCCAGGTTAATATAATAACTGAATATTTCTAAGCATATGTAAGAATAACTAATTCTGTGGTTATATAATTTTTCTTTTCCAAGAAAGTACTCTGAAAGCTTTCTCTATAATCCTGGACTTATGTCCTACTAGATGATATCATTTGAACATGAACGGTCTCTTACCCTATGTACTTGGGTCATTTTAGTTCCTTTGTACCAACCTTACAAAGTTCTGCAGTTCACACATCCATGGCACTTGGAAATTGCCATTTCTTAGGGGAAACCCTTGCATACATTGTGATGCCTACTCATTGACTATGCCAGGTACCACTTGCACTGATAACCCCAAATGTCTTAATGATACTGCTAGGTGTCCTTCATAACAAAACTGTCCCCCAGCTCAATTCAATCCAAAATTATCTTCATGAAACAAAGTGGATGTAGGAAATAATTTTACCTAGTGGGTCTAAGAAAGCCCCAGCCTGATTATAAGATGTGACACCCCACTCCCCACCGGCAGCACAGAGGCAGTGTACCTTATCTGCTGCTGACAGTCTTGTCCAGGGTTTGTCTGCCCTCCTGTCATAGTCCTGCGCTCTTGCTACTTCCACATAGTCACTGAAGCGGATCAGAATTTTTCTGTCTCTCAATTCATCAACAGTGGGTCTCTGATTAAGCTGAAATAAAAGATGATTATAGTTAGGTACCATATACCACACTTGTTTTCTCATAGTAAGCATATATAATCTATAAACAACTGTGCTTGTGAGTTACCATGAACACATTTTCTAATAGAGTTTAAGAATGTATTAATCCTTGCCTAATTCCTTTCTTCCAACAATTACCTGTCCTGACAGAGCAAATGATCAAGGAGTGGTTGTTGGAATCACTGAATAAATTGCATGTGGTCAGCAATCTGTAATGCTGACTACCACTCTCATGAAGAGCTGGAAGTCTGTACTGGTAGCTCCAAACTCACAGCATTGGCCTGGGTCAGTCAGACAGTCGTGTGAGCATGAGGAAAGGTAGATTTGGGCTTGTGGAGTTACTTCCTAGGCCAACCATTGTAAATCTAACTTGATGTCATACAAACTCTTGATGCTGACATTTTCTATAATCAGAGAGCAACTAGGAATGACAAGTCTAGAAGGGATGTAGTTCTTAGTGTAAAAGAATAATGTTCACTTGCCTTCTGGCAAGGAATTAGAAGTGGTGTTTGGGTGTTATTGCCTTCCCAACTGATTGCTGTTAGGGCCTTACCACCTAGGTTCAGGGCACTGCTTTTGGAGCAGCTTGACCCCATGTTGCCTGGGAAAGCACAAAGTCACAGGATGCCTTGCACTCCCCATCAAAATACTGTAGAAGCTTTCTCTAGTTCACATCAATTTATAAAATTAAAGTCTTTGATTATAATCCTGCGCAGGTTAGTTTTGTCCACTCTACATAAGTTAGGGTCATCTTGGAAGAGGGAATATGAATTGTGGAATTGCCTCCATCAAATTGGCCTGTGAGTATGTTTGTGTGGACATTTTCCTGATGACTGATGTGGGAGGGCTGAGCCCACTATAGGTGGTGCCACCCCTGATCTGTGTAAAAATAATCTGAGAAAGTCAGAAAGCATTTCTTCATGGTCTCTGCATTAGTTCCTGCCTCAGTTTCCCTCAACGATGGACTATGGCTTGGAAATATAAACAAACCCTTCCCAAGGCTGCTTTTGGTCATGGTGTTTAACCCAGAAAACAATCTAGGACAATACCTTTCTTGTTAGTCTTTGCTTGATTTCTCTCCTTTCTTCTTGCTCTGTCTGATCATTCCTTTCTGTGAAAGATTAAAACAGAGATAGAATCAGGTTGAACATTTCTTGTTGCACAAGCAAGCACCAGGTTTCCTATGGCCACTTTGTAGATGGTATCTTTTGACATATCAGTTTTTTTTTTTTTTTTTTGAGTCACTTTCCCAAAAGCTGCTCAGGACATATGCTCATCCTTCCTATACAGGAGAAGTATGTTGTTACTGCTTACTTCTGGGGAGCAGCTGTCTGTTGGTCTTCATTCCACCCTAATATCTAGTCTGTATATTTATATCTAGGAACATAGGGAGCATACAATTGCTATAGCCCAATAACCAAGCACATGTTCATCTCTAAGTCACAGTTTATCTTTTGTACTTCATTTAACAAGTGTATACACCTTTTAGACAGCTAGCATAAAACATGAACTTCAGATTCTGGGCAACATAGTATCAAATGTGAACATACCCACAACCCAGCTGCTTTTTCATTGTTGAAGCATAAATACTTGTTTTTGACAATACCTTCTAAGGTGCTAAAGGCCCTTGGAGTGGCTTTGCCTCTTGAGTTGTGTTCACACTATACTTGGGAGCTAACGGTAGTCCAGCATGTTGAAATTCTGTAGTAATATAAGGCTGGCCCTTGGATGCAGAGAGAAGAATGCAGTCCTATTTCTGGCATTCTGGTTGGACTCAGGTCCCCAACCTTAACAGAATTCCTGCCTGGGAAATAGATCCCAGCCACCAGCACACAGAACAGCAGCACAGCCCATGCTTTCAGCCTAAATCTAACATAATTTTACATTATCTGTACTTAAATGATGCATTTCAAACACTTGTGTATTGGGGAGATTGGGTGTGTGGGCATTTAATGCATCTAACTGTGCTTTCTTTTCTCATTTAAAATTCTTAGAGAATTTTAGAGAAAAACACAATCTTGTTATATGTTTAGTTCTTTAGCCATATGTGGTAATAGAAAATGCATTGTTGTAAGCTATGGTCACAAAGTAGTGAAACAACCAGGAAACCCTGAAACTGTCATCAGGCCAGCCTCGAGAGGTTGGAACTAGAGCATGGAATCAGTTGTGGTTTCTTACAAAGGCCCTGGACAAACCCCAAGTACAGTATCCTTGTGAAAAGATGGCGGAAAAGCGGGATCCCCTATTCCCCCTTAATTGTGAAAATGACAATATTACCACTAGGGGTAGACAACACACCTTGGAGAAGTTATTCCAGAACCTTGGACAGCTCCATGTGCCTCTCCATAGGCACCCAGGAATGTGTGATTACTTTGTATGTGGTGGGTGACTAAGAACTTGGACAGCCAGGAGAGGTGAGCCAGTATTCATGTGTTAAAATGTCACGTTTCCTCGGGGCCTTTAGTTGCCTCACTAGTAAAATGGGGACAACAATACAACTCTCAGATTTTGGCAAGGATTAAGGAACACACTCCAGGTCATGTCTGGCACAGACTGAGTCCAGTCATCATATTCAATTAGGTCACCAATATGTGAAATTCTGAGGGTGTGTCAGATGCACTGACTGTTCATATGTCTTCTTTTTAAGGGGAGAAAACACAAAGTTCAGTCACAAGTGGAACTATATGTACTGTGCATAGCTAGGTGTGCTGCTCTTATTCCATATGTGGTAGCCCAATCCTTGCCACAGAACAGAACAGCACAATATCAAATAGTGGGCTCCTCAGATCCTCCCACTCAGTACATTTGACAAGGTTTCTGGGCTAAGGATAAATCTGGCTTGCTGGCGAAGGCACTGTGTTTACAGTGTGTTGCCATGGCCATCACAAGAAAAATCCACTTCTGTGTGTTGAAGGTGAGTGCAGTCAGTTCCAGCTGCTTACTAGCTTCACTCACCAAGCAGAATCTATTTTTAAGACTGTTTATTTCAGATAGTAACAATTAGAAATACAGGTTACACAGATGGAAGAGAAGACACTGCTATGGATACAAGGATTGGGGTTCTCTTGCTGTCATGATATCACATTGGCATGTCCTAAAACATGGAACTTGCCTTGTTCAAATCTAGACCATAGATTTGAATAGTATCAGTGACATAAGAATGAATTTTAAATAAGTGGCTTTATGTTTTAATATCCAAACATTTGATAACTAAAATATCTTTACTCCTGTGGACTTGATCAAGCATAGTTTCAGCCACAGTCTAGGCAACATAAAGGAATTCCTAATCTTGGTTTTCCCCCAGCAATCTACAAAGGAGGGGATAGCTTTAAGGTTAAAGGCAGTATTGAGGCAAAGACAAAGGGGTGGGTTGAATTGCATGTGCAGATCAAGATTCTGCAGCCTCTCTGGTAGTACCAGGTCAGTCTTGGTGCTGTTACAACTTTGAGAAAGGTGTTCACAAAGAACACCAGGGAAGTGGAGTATGCAGCACAAGGCAAGAGAAAAGCTTAAGAGTCATGCTACTGGATTGACCCAAAGAGCACATATTGTGGAAAACAGTCTGTAAGCCAGATAAGCACTACTCAGGGTACACCTTTGGTGGGTTTGACTACCTTCCATCATCAAATACCATGAAACTTGCATACAGTGGACATTGTTGCTAGACACCTGGGTTCAGTACATTACAATTACACACCTAACTGGACTGGAACCCAAAGTTCTGAGCCACAGAAGTTTCTCTGCTCTAGTGAGCTGTCATTTATTTCTTCCAGGAGGAACAAGCAAGGGGTACAACTCCTGGCTGGGTCTGTGATTTCTAATGCCCATAGGACCCTACTGCAAACTCCCTAGAAGCTCTGCTTGGCACCCAACACACATAGGGTTAATGATCTGTTTCATTTGTTTCCCTGGAGTCTACAGGACCATCTAATAAACCTGAAGATAAGAGCATCTTCAATTATGTTAGAAAGAGCTACTTTTTTATTTTATTTTAGAAGGAGCTTTCTTGGATGCAGCCACTTTGAGGCCTTTTCTTTCAGAATCACTTAGATATTCAGATTTAAGGGAACCCAGCTTTATTCAGTCTGCAGAGCTGGCCTGGGCTATGAGAGCTCAGATTCCTGCAGCAGCCTCAGCACATGTTAGGGAAACCTCTAGAGGAATCACCCGCTACTCACGTTTCAGGATATTTCTTCTCTCCAGCTCCTCCACAGCTGGTCTCTGGCTCAGCCTTCTGCGGAAAAACACTAAGATTATGTTTTGCACCATGGTGGCTTCCTGGAAGTTCTACCCAGGGTCTGTGCAATGAGAGGTGCCTGGCATACACCCCTGAAGTTCAAGATCACCTTCCAAAAGGGAGAAGAGAGTGGACCACTAGAACCTCTTGCTGGCAAAATCAAGTCAGACTTCCATGTAGGAGGGATAGCTGGTCCACAGAGCCAATGCTGAGGAAGTCCTTGTTCCACTCCACATCATCACCTGCCCCCTCCTGCCTTGTGTGTACAGTTCACCCAGCCACATGGATGTTTAAGCAGTGCAGAGATTCATTCAGGAAAGTCTTCTCCCTGCTCTATAGTGTAGGGAGAGGCAGGCAGTGCCACTGCTGGGCTTCAGGCTTCTGGTTGCAGCCATGCCCCCAGATCCTTGCTTCCAGGCATCAGCTCCATTCTCGGCACAAGGAAATCAGCCCAGGAATACAGCCACCTGCCTGCTAGGCTGAGAGGAGCCTCCTCTCCTCTGCCCCACCCAGGGGGAGTGTCTAGGGCCAGCTGAGGGGCCTTGCCTCCCATCAGTGAGCACAGAGCTCTAACACCAATGACAGCTGGGGAATCTCCCAGCTAACTAGGAAGGGAACCGCCTACACATGCGCCTCCCTCCTCCCTTTCTCCCTCTAGCAGCGCAGATGAGTGTGCCAGTGTGCTGTGAGAAGACAAATTACTATTTCCTTTTCAGATGGTCTCTGGTTGGGGGAGTTGGAGGACGCAGCCCAAAAAGTAAAACATCAAAACCCTACAAAACATAAACAAAGGGCTTGTCGGGAGAGGGAGGCATAATTAGACAAAATCAATGCCAAGCTCCAATTATTTTTATCTAAAATAATGGCCTTGCAGAAGCCTTCCTACTTTCGGACCCTCAGCCACTGTAGAGAGCATCAGGGCCAAGGTCCTGAATACTCAGAGCTGGGGGCTATAACATTTTGCCCATGTGAAAATCCTGTCTCCAGAAATGCATCTATTTATAACCCCTGTACTAGCACAAAGACCAGGGCGTAGTGGATGTGCTCCACACTGGAACATGTTTGCTTTGGGCTCACCCAGAGCTTTGTCTTGTAGCTCTTTTAGGGTTTGTGTGTGTGGTGGGGGCTCCACTGTATTCCTAATGTTCCCTGAGATTTGAACCTGGACCCTGACAACTTCTGTCTGGCAGCCAGAGCCAAGACTCTCCCCATCTGTCCTAGGTAATACCTGCCAAACCTGGCCCCTGCTCCCTGCTGCTGTGGCCCTAAACCCTCTCAAAGGACCCTGGACTACCAGTTATGCATCACACACTGCTGAGCATAGAAGGTTTAGGGGTTCGCCATCCAGAGTGAAAGGCAGATAAGAAAATCACCAGCCATTTTACAGTGGTCTGCACACAGGGATAAGGGCTGAGCAGGGCAGGGGAATCTGAGGAAGATACGGTTGCACTGAGACCCTGGTGACAAGAAGGGGGCCTAGCTGCTCACCTGCTGGGCTTGCAGACTACAGGAAGAAGGGGAGACAATGATGACCTGCTGCAGTTAGGCCTAGGAGGCCCTGGAGGACGAGCTACTTGAGTAGACCGCATCTTGATAGCTCTGGGGCTGGGGGGTAACACGGTATAAGGTGTTCTCCCACTCCTTCCAGCCTGCTCAAGAAGCACTCCATTGACAGGGATTGTTCAAGTGGGCGATAGCACCATAGGCAAATGACAGGGCAGTAGAGGAGGGCTTTGGAAAAGGGAAAACAGACCCTGATGATCACAGTTTGTCATTTTCTAGCTGAGTATCTGCAGGCAGGGTACTTGGCTTTTCTGAGCCCTACTTCTCACATGCAAAGAGAACTAACCAGATCTCCAAAGAATTGTATACACGGTCGATACAAAATGGAATTTCATAACATTTACTTAGAAACTTCTCAAGAATGCACTCATGTCAAGAGTGGCCTACCCAAGGACTTTATGATCCTTGTGAAGTCAGGATCTGGACCATCAATGCCTATTTTTTTCTCTGACACAAGTAAATATTTTCTTCACAAAAGCAACCCTAACAGGGTATTGTTCCATGAGATCTCATTATCTGCGTGAAGTGGTCACCTGTGTCAGGCACTTCCTCCTAGCCCCTAATGCCATTCTTCAAGTTTACCACCCAGCAGAAAACAAGCAGAGAGCATAGGAAATTAGTGCATTGGCCTGGGCCTGAAAACAGCCAAACTGCTCAGACTCTCCCTTCTTTCCTGTGTCCAGGACCCTATCTACTGTGCACCACCACACCAAGGCAGCTGAGCTGCCATGAGGCCCCTTGGCTGGTTAGTCTGAGTATCTCACAAGACCAAGCACATCTGGCCCTGGGTAAGTCACAGCCCATCTGCCATGCCCAGGGTGGGTTCCTCTTTCCCATAGTGCTGTACCCATGAGATAATGTGAACATAGCCAGTATGAGCAGCCCATCACTTTGCTTTGAACATTACCACTATTATAATTACAACCTCTGTTATTATTAGCTTTTTAACCAATGTTTATGGAATTAGATGGAGGCATTTTTTGTAAACTGGTATGTGCTGCCCACTCCAAGTACAAAACCCTGGAAAGAGATGGTTCGCAGAGGCTTCTGGCCACCTGAGCTTTAGCTCAAGGAACAGGGCCTGCACCTGAGTTAATGAGGTATCACCCTTGCCTCCACCCCAACCCCAGCATCTGAGACCAGAACAGTATGAGAGCCTGACACCCTTCAGAGGTCTGCATATGGCAAATGGGAAACAAGTGAGACACCTGGTCTCAATTCAGGCTACAGGAGCCCTGGGAACAGGAATCACAGCTGGATCCAAAGCAGGGAGCACCACAGCAGACAGTGGGCAGAAGATGGCAGGGATAGGCAAATCTGACCTTCAAGCCAGGTGGTCAGGCTGAGGCTGGTGGAAATTGAGGTGCACAGACCTTGGCTGCCTATGCAGTGGCCACTCAGGCCATGAGGACATGGACATTTTGTGGGCAGAACCACAGCCTGTGAAAGGAGGGTTGGGCTGAAGAACACCGCCCTTATGGTCGAAGAACTCCCTGAGAGTGGACTTGGCACACCTTGCTGTCAGTCACCCAGAGAGGCAGCAACAGGTATTAGTGAAGGATGACCAGAATGGGTACTGGGTCTTCTCCCATTCCCTGGACTGTAATATCCAGTCTGGACGGGGCTACTGCCTTACTGCCATCATCTTAGGGACAAGGAGTCAGGAAGCAGCAAGAAACTTCCCCAGCAGAAGTGCTCGGGAATCCAAGGAAGCCAGAAGCACAAAGAGGGGTAGAGCAGGCCTGTAGGCATCACAGCTCAGTGGGATGCCTAGCTCATGGTTCTCATTGCCACTGCCCTTTGTGTGGTTTGATGACAATGATTTGCCACCTGAAGCTGACGACCCACAGTCAGGCTTGATGGGGTAGAACCACAGCACCATAGGGCAGAAGTGCCCCCAAGAGGAGAGGGAGGCATCCTGACACACACGAGAGATTTCCCAAAGGCTGCAGGAAACTGAGCTGGGACTTCCAGATCCCAGGTGTCTGTGAGTCCCTGGAGGACAAGGTGTAGGGGAAGCTGTATAACTTGGAGAATGCTACGCCCCCTTTCCCCATTGTTGTCACTTAGGATAGTGTATATACCTAGTTAGGAATAGCTTATGACTTTAGGGTTTAGTTATATTTTACCTTTATACTGTTAAGTTTTAATCCTCTTTTAGACTAAAAGGGGAATTGTAGGGGAAGCTGTAGCCACGCCTTCTTAGGGGCTGGCTACAAGAGTACCTGAGGGCTTGTGAGGGCGTGGTCAGAGTGAGTAGGGGGACTGCGTTTTCGGTTTCGGTTTCTCTCTTTGCTTCTTGCTGTACAGACTACCACCGGCTGGCTGGTTCGCTCTGTAAGTAAGGCTTTTCCCTATTAAATACCCTTATATTTCTACCTGACTCCGTACTGGTAATTTCTTACTATAACAAGGTGCAGGGAAGCTAATAAGACAGTGACCTTCAGTGGCTTTCTGAGGCTGTCAACCTGAAAGTCACCTATAGCCCTGCCATGTGCTATGAATCCAGCCAGGAATGGGCAGTCAGGGCACAGAGAGGAAGAGGTGGCAGAGGGAGATGGTGAACTGGAGTGTGGCGGTAGAGGTGCCAGCACACAGTGGGTGCAACCCCCAGTTGGACACTGAAGGTAAAGGGGGAGCCTGCACCTGTCTGTGGGAGGCTGGCAAGCTTTTGCTCCACTGGTCAGTACCTGGAGTCAGATTACTGACTTGTGAAAATCAGACTCAGCTCTGGCCTGGCCATTGGCTATCAGGGGCCATACTCTCCCCAGCCTGGCCTGTGCTAGCTGAACCCCTTGCTTCACCCACTTAGAGAGCAGAGAGGACCAGCACAGACTGAATGTGGGTAGACACTAGCATTGTGACTGCTGTCCTCTGCTGTGTGAAGCCTTGGTCTCCTCTGCTGGCAGCCTCTCTGTAGGCCTGGAACCATAGGAAGGGCTCCTTCATCAGACAGACACTCAGGTCCTCTGCCTTAGACATACCCTTCCTTCGTCAGACACTCCCAAGCTCTCTCTCAGTCACACCCTCTCCCCTCCCTTCCATCAGACACACCCTCCTCCCTAAGGTACTCATATTCTTCCTTCCTTCCATCCTTCCTTCCTTCCCTCCCTCCCTCCCTCCCTCCCTCCCTCCCTCCCT